GGATTATGTGGAAAGATTATTTCCTCACACTCAATGCCATAAGTCAGAACAAGGTCCAATGTATGATGGCAGGAGTGGGTGGAGCTATGTATTATTTGAGTAAAACCAATTGAGTCTAAGATATTACTAAAGGCTACATTGAGGCAATCATTTTCGATGTCCACATGAATGTTGAAATCCCCCACTACAATGACCTTATCAGTATTTAGCACCAAATCAGATAAAAAATCAGAGAAACTCAGAGTAAGGGCCTGGTGGACGATATAAAACTACAAACAAGAGTGGTTTTACAGTTTTGCTATCTGGATTAGGAAAACTAAGAATAAGATGTTCAAACGAACTGTAGCTATTAATCTGTAAGGGACTGATTAATAAGTCCGAATGAAAAATGGTTGCCACTCCTCCTCCTCGCCCTGTACTTCGAGCAATATGATGATTTAAATAATTTGAAGGAGTCGACTCATTTAAGCTAACATAGTCCTCTTGCTGCAGTCAGGATTCTGTGAGAGAGAGCAAAGAGATCTGATTATCACAGATCAAGTCATTAACTAACAAAGTCTTAGAAAAAATGGATCTAATGTTCAACAACCCACATTTAATTTTTCTAGTTTTCTGCTCAGTTGAGTTTGTTCTAATATTTATGAGATTTCCATGATTTGCTTTATTAAGCCTGATATTTAATCTGTGTGGTTTTGGCCGTGGGCAGGACACTGTCTCTATGGGGTAGTGGGTGGGTAACAGTACAGAAGCTGCAGAGGGGTGGGTTAAACTATGACTCTGCTTCCTGGTCTGGACCCTGGGTTGTCATGAAGGACTAATAAAACTGGCCATGTTCCTAGAAAGAAGAGCTGCACCATCCAAAGAGGGATGGATGCCGTCTCTCCGCATCAGACCAGGTTTTCCCCAAAAAGTTTTCCAATTATCAATGTAGCCCACGTTGTTTTCAGGACACCACCTAGACAACCAGCGGTTGAAGGACAGCATGCGGCTAAACATGTCGTCGATCAGGCAGGGGGCCAGAGAAAATTACGGAGTCCGACATTGTTTTGGCAAACTTACACACCGAAGCAACATTAATTTTAGTGACCTCCGATTGGCGTAACCGGGTGTCGTTACTGCCAGCGTGAATAACAATCTTACTGTATTTATGCTTATCCTTAGCCAGCAGTTTCAGATAAGATTTAATGTCGCCCGCTCTGGCCCCAGGTAAACATTTAACTATGGTTGCTGGAGTCTCTAATGCCACGTTTCTGACTATGGAGCTGCCAATGATCAGAGTTGGCTTATCAGTGGGTGCGTCACTGAGCGGGGAAAATCTATTAGAAACGTGGACGGGTTGGTGGTGGCCCACGGGCTGGGTTCTATGCTTCCTGCGTACCGTCACCCAGCCGGCCTGAGGTCCTGGCTGCTCGGGTTCCACTGGAGGGTCGCTACGTGGTTGTTCTGAGCTAGTTAGCCCCGCGCTAGCTAAGTAACTACGGCTGTTTACAGGTTTTTCAACAGCGCGGAGCCGGGACTCCAATTCCGACACCCTCGCCTCCAAAGCTACAAAAATGCTACATTTATTACACGTACCATTATCACTAAAGGAGGCAGAGGAGTAACTAAACATCTGACACAGAGAGCAAGAGATAGGAGACGGAGAAGCAGAGACAGAAGTAGCCATAGCCGTGCTGAGGCTAAGCTAACTGGACGAGCAAACTGTTCAGTACCAAATAAACTGCGTGCAAACTCAAATGGTTCCCTAAAAGCTAGGTGGAACAACAGAAAATGTGTGTTTTAGCGTGCTTTTGTGCTACAATAACTCAGAGATATCCAAGTACAGAGAAACTAAATCAGCTTTAGCGAGCCCCAAACACCAAACAGCTACACGGAGTGCAACACTGAAAACAGGAAACACCTTACCGCCAGGTGCAGCCAATCAGCAATCACCAGTCAATCACCAGAAAGACTCCTTAAGGTCAAGGGTCAGACCTTCTCAGGTCAGGTTAGCATGATAGTTCTATGAATGTCCTCAGTTTGGGTAAATAGAGGTGAGTTTGGGTTAAACACTGTTTAACCCAAAGTTTTCAATCAATCATTCAATCAACTTTATTAACAAACTCAGGATCCAAATGTTCACTACAACAACAATAGCAATAAATAAGAATAAAAAAGAAACAAAACAAATACAGATGGCTATACCAGCTACAACAGCAGGTGGTGCTACAGTCGACATTAGTCAGGCATTTAATGATTATGTCACATTGGTTTAGCCGACAGATACATCTATAGAGCTCCGGGAGTTGACGTCACTTGTCCCGGCATGCAACAGTTCAAATCGAAACGGCGCCATCTTGGTAGGCAGAAGCCCGCAGCTGGACTATTTGTTATTGTCAGAAAACTCAAACGGGAAATATGGAAGATTCCTGTTGTGCCCCAGGATGCCAGAACAGACGCGGACAACATAAGGGAAAAGCCTTCTACAGGATTCCCCAAGATCCGGAACGCCGCAAATGTTGGATCATTGTAATAAAACGCGCTAGTGACCGGGCTAAAATGAAACTGTGGGACACCGAGAGTAAAGGTTTTTGCTTATGCAGCGACCGCTTCATATCAGGTACTTAAACCAACGCTTCCTCAACTGTGTATGGTATTTATTTTAAATGCTTTTATTACGATTCTTAGTGGGCTTCCTAAACTTATTTTGGCGTGGCTTTTTCTGTCTTATTACTCATAGCAACAAGTAAACGTCACCTAAAACGTTGCCTCGTGAGTTCTGCGTGCTGCTGTTTACGTGGTTTATGATCACAGCAATTAACCAGCTAAGCTGTATTTCATTTTAAGCAATGGTTGATCAATTGTCAGATCACACAAAAAAAGCACTTTGGATTGCTATTATCTGTCTCACCGAGTCAGATCTCGGACAGATCCTGAGACGCTCCTGCTTGACATATTTATTTTATTCACGGAAAAAAAATCAGACTAGTGATTTCTCTTGGCGTTCAGTTTATACATTCAAACAGCACAGCACTCTATTTAAACTACTTACATGTAAATCTATGTTATTTGTCCATCCATCCATCCATTGTCATCCGCTTATCCGGAGTCGGGTCGTGGGGGCAGTAGCGTTGAGAGGCCCAGACTTCCCTCTCCCCAGCCACTTGGGCCAGCTCTTCCGGGGAAATCCCAAGGCGTTCCCTGGCCAGGTCTGCTCCGATAGCTTCTGGCGTTTTTAAAAATTATCCCAGGGGCACGGTAAGGGTCGGAGATGTTTAGTCTATTTAATTTCTGACTACATAAAACGATTTCTTCGGTTTTAAAGTGTGAAGTAAACTCAGATGGAGCAAAGTCCAAGCTGATCCCGTTCATTTTGTTTACCTTTGTTGCCTGCCAACATGGCGTCTACTCTCTGACAGTCACGTGAAGTCCGGAGGTCTATACATCAGGATCCTCCACATCACATGAAATGCATTTACCCCCATAGAACCAGACAAGTGGCTCGCACTTTCCCAACAAGGTCTCTTCAGTATAATTCTTAGGCATCCATTAAGTCGTGAACAATTTAAGTCGCCGAAGACTTGATTGGACCACAGGTGTGCCGTATATAACTGAGTACAGTATACCTTAAACAGTATTGTTTTCACTACATTACAGCACACACTGAACCTACGAATTAGCATGTTGGCCTGTGCATACATCCTACAGCATTGTCGATTAATATCATCATCATCAGCAGCCAAATCATCATTGATGAAATGCCCCATATATGTGTATTTACCACTCACAGCCAAAGCTTTAACTCACGATGTGAACTGGTGAAACTGTAAACCTTTATCTTCCTTTGTTCTCAGGTCATGAACACACTCTTGCTAGGATTATAATTGATGTTATAGTCAAATCCACATTTCTAACAAGTATTTAGGAGTTCCTGTAGCCCCACACTAGGACTCAGAACGACTAGATCATCAGCAAACATAAGATGATTGACTCGGGTTGAACCAGTCATACAGCCAGTTCTGACATTACTTACCTTCAATGACTGTTCATCCATATACAGACTGAAGAGCAGAGGAGAGAGAAGCCCTCCTTGCTTCACCCCATTGGTAGCACCAAAAGCAGAGAAGCAACCCCCCCCCCCCCCCCCCATCTGACCTGCATGTCCTGATGAGCATAGCAGAAGGCCCTAACCCTACCCCTCTCAGAATGGACTTAGGTAGCTCTCGATGATGCATTTTAATAAACCACTCTAGATGGTTGGCTCCATCAAAGCTTTAGACGCATCAATAAAGCATCGTAGCACAGAGGAGTTACCTCTTTTAAACTTTCTGATTATTTCTTTTAAATCAAATCCGCATAGATCCGTGCTGTTTTGGTTTAAATCCAACTGGTTATCAGTAGAATGGGTGAAGTCCTTCAGCCTATAGAGCAATAGACCTGTAATTATCCATGCTTCCCACTCTACCTGCCTTTTCCTTTAACTGGGTCTAAGATGACAGATATAAGTGCATCCGGCAAAATGCCATGGGTCAAACAGATGGCCAGAAGAGGGGATAGCATAAGGTTAGCATGTTTAAGAAGTTCACTATGTATTCCATGCAGACCTCAGGATTTACTGTCCGGGAGCTCTTTAACTGCCTGACACGCCTCCGATGCCGTAACACTAATCCACTCGTTCTTGTTTATCTCTGTGATGTTCACTGTGAATAAAGGTAGATAAAGCATTATAATGTGGTTTCCAATGCTCGACTATATTGTCTGGTCCAGAGATTCTACAGAAGCACGACAGCTTTATACTGTTTAGAGCTCTTTCCCAAATCAGTCAGACTGTTTTCAGTGTGACTTTATCGTGTTAATAGATTATTAAAACATGGTGGGCCATTATCAATGTGTGTGTGTGTGTGTGTGTGTGTGTGTGTGTGTGTGTGTGTGTGTGTGTGTGTGTGTGTGTGTGTGTGTGTGTGTATGTGTGTGTGTGTGTGTGTTTAGATGATGACCCGGCCCTAGCACTGAGAGCAGCCATGTATGAATTGTTGGTCAGCATCCACACTGAGGAAGCAGACTATGGAGGTGCCCTGCAGTTGTTGAACAGAGCCATTACAGACATGCCCCACACCAGACATCAGCTGTGAGTGAAACAATAACAAACAGCAATAAGAAGGGTCCAGAGGAGGGCAGAAAGGGGGTCCGTTCTGATTCTCAGGGGCTTTTTCCAGGCCTCTACTCAAAGATCGCATATTTTTGAAAGCACGACTGGGAGAAAGCATAGAGCTGGACATGGAGACATTAAAAGGTGAAGGAGAAGAGTGCTGTTCGTCAGTGTGGCGCCAGATAGTTCTGTTGACCAAAGACACCAACCAACAGCTGACCTGCTACCAGAGAGCCATCAGTTCTCTCACGGTAATGTTACACCTGCACCAAAGCCTAAACACACTGGATCAGTCTAATTCATCTGACGTTGTTTCCTCACTCAGAAGATGGAATATTAAAACGTCTCTATCGCCACCGTGTGGAGGAAGTGTGTCATTACAGCTGTGTGTACAGGCCTAGTGTTTTACAATCGTGTAACCTTTACTAGTTGAGTTAGAAGCTTTTCATGATTGGACGATGATGAAACAGTTCAGTGAATATTGAACACGAGGATCACTGCGTTACCAATACTTCACCGTTCACACGCCCCGCCCATGGCACATGACTAACGCCACAGTCACGTGACCAGTTAAAGCAGCTTGCTGAGACCTGAGTGAGTGAGCGAGTTAGTGAGTGAGGGAGTGATTGAGTAGTGAGCTCAGGCTTAGGGTTAGGGTTAGCCTAACCCTAAGCCTGACCCTAGGCTCAGGTCTCTGACTTTAGTTTGGCTGTTGGATTTTTGACTTGTTTTTTGACTTGCTGGTTTCCTCCGACAGAGCACGGAGACTTGGTGGTGTAAAGCCGATATTTTGCTAGAATTTGGGCGATGGCTGTACTTTCACAACTTCCCCAGAGAAGAAGCCCAGCAGCAGATACAGTGTGCTGTGGACATCCTTCTAACCCAGGAACCTGCAGAAGCAGCAGACTCAGGTGGGAATGGCCAAATCTCCTAGCTGGTTTAAACATTAGCCTAATGTTACCTTTGCAAATCTGGGGGGGTGGGGGGGGATGACATGTCTCACCTTTATGTTTTATTTGATGCACTCCACATTGAACTGCACCAATCCAGCAACTGCTGCATTTTAATAACTAGTGTTAAAAGTGAATACACCAATATTTGCACAAGAATAATTTTTGTTTTAAACTCTCAGTGACACAGGTTGCTGGGGGGTTGGCATTTAATTTGTCTTGGCATCTGGAAAAACATCTCCTTCTGCCCCCCTTTATTTGACTTTCTGCCCCCTTTATTTTGGCCCAAGATCATTACTGGGCTGGCCCTGTTAAACACCTTCTACACCCCTGCTTAGTAGACTTAATGAAGTATTTTTAAGCCAGTATAAAAATGACTGAAACACAAATATACATATTTGGCATTATTGACCAATATCTTTGATTTAATTTATTTGTTAAGAACATCAAGATGCATTACAGTGAACATTATAGTAAAGTACATGTTTCTAGTGCAGAGAGAAGACAACCCATAGAAGCACTGATTCGATCTCATTTCAGAGAAGAATAGAACAGGTCAGATGCACCTAATAAATAAAATTACTGACATAAACTCAGGAATATGTTTCTTTGCTTCATTGTTCTGGTGCTGAAAATATCACTAATGTGGATCAAAGGAGACACACAGATGAATGCACCTCTTATTTATTATTTGGAAATGAGTGGGTGTTGTTTACATCAATACATTATTTTAAATCTGAAATTGATATGGATTGATCAGAAGTTGATATGTGTATTGTTTATTTGAAAACTTTACAGAGCAGCCTCAGAATTGAGATTAAACATTTTTGATGACAATAGTAAAGGAAGTATTACAGAACAAGTGTTTCAGTAAAATCAGAACATTATTATTTAAGTGCATGTATTAATACATCTGAACTCATGCAGCAGGAACTAGGAAATACTAGAACCATTTTATTTTAATTTGATTAAACTGATTTTTTCCTAACGTTGTTGGAATTTTTCCCACACACAGTTAAACAAAACAATGTTGATTGAGGTGTGTGTGTGTGTGTGTGTGTGTGTGTGTGTGTGTGTGTGTGTGTGTGTGTGTGTGTGTGTGTGTGTGTGTGTATGTGTGTGTGTGTGTGTGTGTGTGTGTGTGTGTGTGTGTGGATGGGCCGGACGGACAGAGCTCCCGGCTGCAGTTTTGTGTGTAGGGAGGGGCGGGCGCTCTATGTGACTGGCCAATCACAGAACGTGAAGACAGTCAGTTACCCAATGAGGATTTTCCTTCAGCACGATTACAGATATTTACGAGTTTTACTCGTTTCATGCTCATATTTGTCAAAAATGCTTTATCCGTACCGGATACTAGTCTGAAATGAGTATCCGGCTCATCCCTTGCTGTAACCACCCTGCCCTGCCTCTTCCTCCTTGCTGCCTGCCGGCTGTGATCACAAGCATCAACAGAGTAGTTCCTGCTGATTCTTCGGGAAACGGCGCAAAAAAAAATATATTTTTTTAAATCTATAAAACGGGATCTTGTAGGCGTGGCGCTGGTATTTCAGCCGTGGCAGGCCGCCACGGCTACGCCTATGTAAGGGAAATATTGGAATAACTGATAATCCGGCAGCCAGCTGGGTATGAAACATACAGTAGAACCTTCCTTCCTAAATGACTGAAACATCAGACTCTTTTGGGATTTTCTCACTGTAAAATTATCACTAAATTCTTACATACTGCACCTTTAAGCTAAATAATTCTAAGTCTGAGGCACTCCTGATGACCCCTAACAAAACCACGCACTTATCTTCCGATTTGGACACTCTCCCATATGACCTCAAGCAGTGTGTTACCAACCTGGGGGTGAAACTGGATACACACTTTTCCATGGGCCCTCAGATTAACGCAGTGGTCAGATCGTGTTTTTACCAGCTGCGCAGACTAGTTCGCTTAAAACCGATCCTGAAACGAGCGCACCTGGAATCTGTAATTCATGCTTTTATCATCTCCCAACTGGATTATGCAAATTCCTTTTTAATTGGTTTACCTGCCTCCGCCCTTAACAGGCTTCAGGTCGTACAAAACGCGGCAGCCAGGTTTTTAACTAACACCCCTAGAAGAGACCATATCGCACCTGCACTGGTGCGGCTCCACTGGCTACCCATAAACTTCAGAGTCAAGTTTAAAATCCTGACTTTTGTTTTTAAGGCCCTGAACTGGTCTGGCTCCGGATTACCTGTCGGATCTTGTCACTCGTTATGTGCCAAACCGGGCGTTGACGTCTGCTGATTGCCTGCTGCTTCGAGTTCCAGCAATGAAATACAAAACGCGGGGGCAGCGTGCTTTTGTCTACGCTGCTCCGACACTCTGGAATGCTCTTCCTCTTTCAGTGAGGCTGGCACCATCCCTCCTCCGGTTCAAGTCGCTACTTAAGGCTCACTTTTACGACCAGGCATTTTTAAATCCCTGACTTTTATTTTACTATGTGCCTTTTTATTGACCGTGATTATCTGCCTTGTTGTGTATTTTATTGTTGACTGCATATTGTTTTATATTGTGTTTTTACTTTTATTCTGTACAGCACTTTGGTCGGCTGCCATGCCGTTTTTAAATGTGCTTAATAAATAAAGTTGGTATGGTACACTTTGGATTTAAACATCTTGGTCATTCAACACATTTGATCATATCCACCTATAAAGTTGTAAAGTCATTTGTAATTCGAGGAAGATGAACTTCATCCCGAGTGAAAGTGCAGAAGTCTTGTCTTCTCGCAAAGATAAGGAAAGCACTTATTATGTCTCCCTTATTTGGTTGCAAGCTCGTAGATCCTAGCTTTTCTTGCTAGGAGGCCAGCCTGATGTAATGCGTCCCTGGATGTGTGACACAGTTTGTGTCTGGAAATTAAAATTTAATTTTTGGTCATTATTGATGTAAATACTTGGCCTTTCGGTACGCTACAATAGGAAACCTGTCATTGTTTTTTATTTTTCATTGCACCAGTTACTAACGTGGGTCTCAGGAGGATATGAAATATTTAACTGAAATGTTTTATTCCAACAGCCAACGATTTATATCGGGGAAATCCTGAAGATTAACAAGGCTATTACTCAATAAAATGTCTAAACTGTTATTTTGTCGTCTTTCCTTTCTAGGAAGTGTGGCCGAAACGAGTTTAACCACAGAAAAACATGCGTCTTTGCTAGGAGGTCACGGCTCTTTCACACGGAGTGTGTCTGGTCTGAAGGAGGTGTGTCGCCTCAACCTCTTGGTCCAAGCCCACGTTCTCCTCGCTGTTAATTCAGACAAGTCCTCACAGGAGCATCAGCTCAACCTGCTCAGGGCACACACCTTCATCCTCCAAATATGGCAGGTACTGCGTGGCCACCACGGGGATTTTAGAGGCTCACTCCTTTGTCCTGAAATGTAAGCATGTGTAGAGTGGGTGTTTTCTCTCTGCAGGTCTTGACCTCAGCGGCTTGTCCCGTTTCTGATGAGATGGCATAGAGTCGGCCACCTCAGACTCCTGTTTCTGATACAAGATCCAAGAAGAAGAAAGTGAAAAATGTAAGTCCCACAGCTCACCTGTTAGGAACATGGAGCGCCAGCAAGAAGACCCATTTTTACTTTACTCATAGATCTGGTGAAAATATAACATCGCTGCAGGCACTAGTGTTGGAAAAACAGGAGAAGTAACGATGGCTGCATTCCATTCTGAAGGTGTTTGGCTCAGGAGCAGCAGACTAACTGGCATGTGCAGGAATGGAATGCATGTCCAGATGTTTAGAGTCCAACATCTGTCACCAAGGACAGAAACAGTCGAGCCTTGTCCCTCATTGGGTGGGCAGCAGGCTGTGGGCGGTCGACCAATCAGAGCCTAGCGTCTGCTTTCATCGTGAACCTGACCTTAGAGCCTAATGAGCACTGTACCTGATAAAACATCTTTCATTTACATATACAGGAATCACTTCCTGATTCCTTCATTTTGAATAGCTGCTGTTCATCCAGGACTCGTGAAAAATGGAGCATTAACCCATAAAGCCAAAGTCATTCTGACCCGACCCGTGAGCAAGTTGCTCCAACGTTAATCTTGAGATTAGCTACATTATCTTGAGTTATGCTGAACAAAGACCAACACTTGTGTCGTGACCCCAGTTGACCCCTGCAGAAGATAAAGCTGCTGTGTTGGATCAGACTTTTCCTTCCACCGTAAAGGACTGGACTCAGTATGTCTGCCCCGACCCAGTCAGGCAGGCATTCAGAACCAGCAACAGCATCAGCAAGCAGGTGTGTGATAACCCCAAAGCACCATACTCTGTGTTTATCTACGTTTGCAGACGTTCCATGTTTGTTTATCTCCAGACTCAAAGCCTGTTTTATTTGACCCTGCTGGAGGAAGAGCTGCTCGCTCTCTCACTCCACCATCTGACCTTACCCGTACTGCACCTGGCTGAGACCATCGCTCACGACATTCTGGAGAGAAGGAGCCTCTCAGATATTTACAGACTCAAGTCAGAAAAGAGTTTTATGCATTTCAGTAGCTAAACCCTTCAGTAAGCAGTCGTTTTGATGCTATTCCTTCTGTTTTCTGTCTGATCAGGATTGTGAGGACGTGTCTTCAGCTGGGGTTGGACTCATCTTCACCCTACAAGGAGAAGCTTCTGGATCTGAGCAGAATCCAAGAAGAAGAACAAATGTTGGTGAACTCAGCTGGTGGTCATTTGTTTATGAGCTACAGGTAGCCTCTGGTAGAATTATCACCAAATACCTGCTGCATAAAAACCCAGAGGAGCTCATCTCACGAACATGGTTCCACATTCAGACACAGACATGAGTCATCTGAGCTGCAGCTGCATCACTCAGCATCACCTGTGCACCTTTAGTTTAACTGTGAAGGAGGGGAAGCTTTTGTGAACACAAAGTATCACAGTTTTTACAAAAACAAAAAGATGTATTCTTTCTTTAGTGACGAGAGCATAAAACAACTCTTCAGCACGTGAATCCAAGAGAAACCTCCTGTATCATGTCATAGTTTAACGTGCGCTCGTCTCCCATGACTTCCTGCAGGCACTTCAGAGCCCAACTTCTCTTGAGAGAGACGTGGAGCAGCCTTTACAAAGGTTTGAACATGGTAAGCTGCCTCTCGTTCATCACATATCACGATTCCAACTGTGACAACACTCAGTAATCAGCTGTAGGCGTGTGACACATGTAACATTCCAAGTGTGTGTTTCCAGAACGCTGATCTAAGGAAAGATGCGTGTGTTTGGGGTCACTGGGTGGAGAAGGCGGAGCTTTGTCTCAGCTTGGGCCTGCATCAGTCAGCCTGTCAGCATCTAGCTGAGGCCCTGCAGGCGGCATTAGTGAGTCCCAGCTATCAGGCTGTTTAACCCTAAGCAGGAATTTTGAATGTATAAATATTTATTTGTGTCCCTCTAAAAGCCAACAGAACCTTTCAGAGCTGTTCCTGTCCTTCCCAGAAATATTAAATATTCAAACAAGTCATCTAACCCAGCAGCGCATCAAGCTGCTTCCTGCTGCTACAAATAAAAATCTGGTTATTAATGACTTAGGGGGGAAACTCCCTCCAGCTTTTGCCATGATCAGCAGACTTTACGGTCCTTCATGTTCAGGAATTCGGAGACACGGTCACTGCATCTAGAAGTTTGCTAGGCCTTGCAGCTCTGGCCTGCAAGGGGCAGAACCACCAGCTGGCTCTCAACCTGTTGGATGAAGCTCAGTCCCACGGTGGGAACGCTCAATTCTGGTATCGCCTCACCCTCATGAGGGTCTCAGCAACAGTGGGCTGTATAGACCACGATTCCCAGACCAAGGTGATGACCAAGAATGCAGCTCCATGTGTTTGTAGAGGACACGCTCCTCATGAAGGTGTCTGTCTGTTTGATTTGGGGGTTTTAGGTGGATGCTATTATAAAAGGATGCCGTGAGGCTTTGGAGACTTATCTGGTTGGAGGGCAGGGAGATAACAGAATCCAAGATCTGGAGTTCATGATCACCTCATTAAATAAAAGGTTTGTTTTTCTGTGTCTGGGTTGATTTGAAACACATTAATGACATATCTGACCCCAGCTGACCCCTGATCAAAAGTAAGAAGGTCTTGGTGGAAACCTGACCCTCTTCTGTATCTCAGAGGTGCTGTGGAAGACATCCGTGCCGTCAGAGCTAAAGCTGCAGAGACGCTGGGCGCTGACGCGGTCCAGAGGCTAACTGCTGCCTGTCAAACACTTGAAGAGTCAGCCGGTGGTTTCACCAAACTCAGCCTCCACAGCCAGGCAGCAGAGGCACATCAGGAGTGTTCCCATGGCCTCGGGTCAGCCTCGCACCTGCTTTACCTTTTTTATTTTAAAGTTATGCTCTGTGATGGTGGACCATCTAAAGATCTCCTGCTCTGTGGTCACTCCTGACTAAAGCTTGTTCTTTTTTCCTTTACAGGCTTCTAGCCTCCTGTTTTACTCACCAAGAGCAGAAACGCCGTTTCCTGCTCCAAGGCTTTTCCCACATGCAGCTAGCAGTCACGCTGCAGGAGCGCGTGGCGTCAGAAGCTCGGAGGCTGCTCCCTCTCGAGGAGGTAACTCCCTCCATCAGGAGATGATGGTTTCCCAACAGGGACGCATTTATTCCATCTCCGTAGGAGAGTTTTACCTCTGAAAGAAAAATTGTGACTAAATAGTGAGTTTGTGGTTGACACCATGAGTAGGTTCATTCCAGCATCTGGTAAAAGTATTCACTAGCCTTGGATTTTACTCGTGTTGAAACTGAGTCATGGTTTTCTAAATGTTGCCCTGCGTCAACACCTTTCACCACAGCTACAGCTACAGGTCTTCTGGGGCACGCCTCTACCAGCACTGCACGTCTAGAGACTGGATTGTGTGCTGCTTGGGTTGGTCTGTCTCTGAAAATCAGTTAAGTTTGTGGACTTAAGGTGTCAAATGTGTCATAGTTCGTGTTCTGAAGAGCAATGCTATCATTAGCAGAAGCTAGCATGAATATCATTTTGTATTTAACACTGATGTGCATAAAACCGCTAGAGGAGATCCTTCCTGCTCATAACACCAGACTGTTGTTGTTTCAGCTTGTCTTTGGGCTAACATTATTAGTGTTGTTGCTTTGTTCAGTCACTAATTAGTGAACATATGGTGATGAAGCTGATCTCACATTGAAAGAAAGGGCGTGATACCTTTGCCACCCAGGTGAAGGTTTTAACTCACTCCTGCCACACCAGCATGTTCAAATGTTCGACTCCTGCATGGTTCAGTTTTCTCCCACAATCAGACCATTTCCTGTTATTGTGCAGGATGTAGATCATCTGGTAGCTTCCAGCGCTAGAGCTTCAGTGGAGTCTGAAGGACTGGATCAGGGCGTTACCTCACAACTCTGCTGAGCTGCTGTGAGGAGGAGAAAACCAAACGCAGCTGTAGGAGGGCCTTTGTTAGGCCCAGAAGCCCTGACTCTGTCGCTCATGCAGACGTATCTGAATTTGTTTTTCAAAGCTGAGCCGGGGTGGAAATAAATAGTTCATGAGCAGAATTTGAGCTAATGTGTCATGTGAGCTCTTTCAGAGATATGAAAAATCACCAGACATTTTCACATGTCTGCTTTAGACCAGCAGGAAGATCTCACACTGGCTACAGATCTCTCTGTGCCACTGAGGCTGCGAGCCGGATTCATGCCGTGTGCTTTCAGCAGATGGCGCTGCAGCCTAGTCTAAGGAACGCTCTGGCATCCTCCTCCCAGCGTTTACTGACCGCCCTGTACACACAGAGGGAGTCTCTAAAACAAATAGCTGTAATTACCGGCTGTGGTGGGCATTCATCAGTGGGATGTTTCCAGGGTATCTGCAGGTCCTTAAAAAGTCTTAAAAAGTCTTAAATTTGCTTTTCCAAATTTAAGGCCTTAAAAATCCTTAAAAATGACAAATAATCCTTAGATAATTTCCAAAGGTCTTAAATGACCAAAGGCCCAATAAACAAGATTCTTTTATTTCTATAAAATTTTCGTGAATTTCTAGTTAGTTCAGCATTTTTTGTGTATGATATTGGCGTAAGCGGAACCGTACACATTCGGTTGGTTGAGGGGGCTATTTTTGGATGAGCACGCTAGTGGGAGTTTGCGCCATGGGGAAGTGCAACATTAATGGTAACTGGATGGCTAATCCCACGTTCACGACGTGGTTAGCACCGGTTCCAGGCAATAGCTGGAAATTATAGCTTACATTTAATTTAAAAAATAGCTTAAATTTGGTCAAAGTGGCCTTAAAAAAGGTCTTAAAAAGTCTTAAATTTGGCTCCCTTAAACCTGCAGATACCCTGGTTTCACATCCATAATTGTTATTGGTTCCCCGTCTAATGGCAGTGAGGTTTTATTCAGGTGTGCATTTGTTCATGTTGTTGTCCTTCTCAGGGTCACGACCTTTCGCTGCCAGCTGATAGGAGGCTTCAGCACCTGCGGTTGTGCCTGGCAGAGTTTTCTCTGGACATGCTGGAGGAGCATTGTGAAGAGGAGATGTGCCAAGCTTTGGCTCGTGCGAAGATAACCCCTGCTGAAGTGGCACTGCAGGAGTTTACTCGCAGCACACCTGAGCCCAACTCCACAGAGCAGGTGAGACAGCAAACCAACACTAGCACCTGAGTTTGGTCATGCTGGATCTGGTTAAGGCTCCAGACGCAGGGTTAGGGTTGGGGTAGCTCAGGAGGTAACCCTAACCTCAGACCTTTGGCCCTTAGATTAGAAGTTCTCTGAACCGCCAGTCTCACGTGGCATTTCAGCCTAATGTGTTGACCGTGATGGAGTCTGAGCCTCCTAGCTGGATGCTATTTACAACAGCAAAGAGAAAAGGGGATTGTGCCAGAGGTGATTATGTTTTAGTGAGTGTATTCCCATCCAGACCTGAGAACTCGTGATTTCGACTTCAGATTTAGTATCCCAACTCTTCCCTGTCACATTAATGAACCGCTTCCTGGTTTGGTTTAATTAACTGCTGTCTTCTCCAGGAATGGGTGAGAGCTGTCAGAACCTCGGAGCAGGTGGCTCAGAGCCAGCTGGCCGCAGTCAGCGTTCAGCCGTCGGACAACGTGGAGATCACGGCTCGCTGCCTGAGCCTGATGGGAAAGCTCCAGAGACTGCTGGCGGTGCAGGAGGAGCCCACGTGTGTGAAGGCCCTCTGGGACAGAAGAAAGCCGGTACGCACCACTAGTATTAAAGCATCACAAAGCTTGGCACAGCAAGAAGGTCAAAGGTTCAACTCCCAGCTGCCGTCTCTCTCCTCTCTGATGGTGTGTTAGCACGCACCTGTATGCTCCACACAGCTGCCTGTTTAAAGGTGCTTTACAGGTTTTTGAAGAGTGGGATGAAACTGTAGCTGAGAGCTCAGAGCTGAGATGTGCTGCTGGACCACCCACCTCCAGAGGGCCAGAGCTAGATCATTCTGATGTGTGACCAGCAGCTCCTGGATGACTGTTCCAGCTTTGCTCCAAATGGCCGGTTTTTCTATAGTGTTCTAGAACCTCCCAAGGCGCTTCACAACACAGTCATTCACACTGCTAGGGATGAGCTATGATGTAGCCACGGCTGACAGAGGCGAGGCCTGTCCCTCCGAACACCACCAGCAGGCTAGGTGGGTTAAGTGTCTTGCTCAAGGACACAACAGCAGCATTCTCTGCTAGGAGCTGGGATGGATTCCAACACCCGGTTAGGGTTACTGGACAACCCGCTCTAACTCCTGAGCTGCTGCTGCCCAGTGACAGGGCTGCTGTGTGTTTACAGACTGGTTGTTGTCATGGCGATCTACATTCTGTCAGCTTAGAATGAAGACAGAGTTTGTACTGTTTAGTAAACTCGAACGCCTCTGACAGAAGATGCTTCATTTGCATCTACAGGACAAAGGCCACTCTTTCGAGGATGCCAATGTTCACATTTTGGACAGAGAGGACAGAAGGTTTGAAAGAGGAGTAAAGGAAGCCATTTATGTCCACTGTGAGCAACCATCTTTGAACAGAGGCGGTGGTTTACGACACCAACTGTCTGCCATCTATAATCCAGTTTTGAGATCCCTTCCCAGATGCCTCAACGCCCACGCATATCCTGGGCCATCTGACCTCAGGAATTCACATGATAGGGTGGGGCCAGGTTTTACAATGAGCTCACCCGAAACTCTGGCTGAATAGGACCCACACCCACCCTCACACCTTGGCTCATGTGTTTATGTAGAAGATCATCAGGGGGTCTTTTGTTCCCTCTTCGGGGGGAAACTCACACTGGGTTTAAATCTGGGACTCTCCACCATTTGACCTAAGAACTGAAGAAGCCTCTCGGATGAGAGGTGAAACGTCTTCAAGCAACTCAAAGAAGTCCAGATGCTTTTCTTTCAAAGCTCATTAGACCTCTGACACCTTATTCTTTTTTCAGCAATCCTGTTCGGGTTCTGGTGGCTTTCCCACAGCAGAGCAGAATTCCGAGAAAGCCAGCGATTCAAGCGAAGATAAACCGAGTTTGGCCTCTGCTACAAGTGCTTTTCTGCAGGTACATACCTCCTGACAGTTGACCTCATCACTCCTGACTCGGCTCTAATCTGGGATCTCCATTTTGAGGTCCTCCTTGCATCTCAATTCCATTTCTCAGAAAACTCTTGGCGTTCTGTGTAGTTCTCGTATTGCAGCTGAGCTCTGATGGATCCATCAGACTTGGTGTGTGATGTTTTTTTCATAGACGAACAATAGATTGTGTTAATATCTAAGCTAAGATTAATGATGACACAGAAGAACTTCCACCTGCTATATATATATATGTAGATATAGATATATATATTTATGTACATATATATATAGATATAAAGGTGAACGGAGCAGTCACATGAGTGGCGTGACATCACGTGCAAAGGGTCAATACACACATATATACACACACACACACACACACACATATATATTTGTGTTTGTATATGTGTATATATATATATATATATATATATGTTTCAGATAGATAGATAGATAGATAGATAGATAGATAGATAGATAGATAGATAGATAGATAGATAGATAGATAGATAGATAGATAGATATAAAGGTGAACTCCGTTTACCACTATGAGTGTTAGATGTGAGTTTAACATTTTGTGGGTAAAAATTATTATTAATAATAAGTCTGATTATATGTTTCAGACTCATGAGCAGTTCAAGTCTTCTTCCAAAGACGATGCTAAAAGTGCACGCTGAACGCGTGTCTGGACCCCGTAAGTACAAACTGTTGACATGTGGCTCACTGACACCCGACACTGACCTGACTGTTGCATGAGCTCAGCGACTTTCCTCCGATGTCTCACGTTCTAGCTGTGTTGTTCCTAAAACAATCACATGATGTCTTCTGGTTGAATTGTGTTATCAGTAGAACTTCAGCATGGCCGACTTACCAGGACTTGGTTTAAACTCAACACCCTAAAAGACTCGACTCACCAGTTAAAGAGCTGACCCCTTCTTTCCACTGCACATCAAAGCGTGGCGAAACGTACTACGTGGCAATTATCCACCGTTATAGTGGATAAGTTCCGTTCCACTGGCAGCAATGTGACATTTTGGACACGCCCCAGAAATGAGGGCATGCTATCATTACGTTTCGAGTCTGTTTTTGACACGCTACACCTCCAAAACACGTCAAACTCGGCTGTTTAGATTGAGGCAGACAGGAAGTCAAACACAGTCTCTAATTTCCCTCTGTGATTAATAAAGTATTATTGAATTGAAAAGCAGCGTAGATCATCCGGAAACTTTCAAAATAAAGGTCACGTGCTGTACATCATTTCTGTAACCGATGTAAACAGAACACAAAATAACCCACAGACATTTCTTGCATGCAGCTGTCTTCTTGTGTGTTATTGTGTTTGAACGTCTGAAATCACGTGTGGTGTTGCAATTCCTCCGTGATTTCATGATGTCACGGGATTCAATTCAAGTTTATTTATGAAGCGCCAAATCACGACCAGAGTCATCTCAAGGACCTTCACGTAAACAGGTCAGTTCATTAAGCCAATCGGAAAAAAGTTTCCTTTATAAGGAACCCATCAGGTTGCATCGAGTCACTGACTAGTGTCGGAGTCTTTACAGCAATCCTCATACTAAGCAAGCATGCAGCGACAGTGGGGAGGAAAACTCCCTTTTAACAGGAAGAAACCCTCAGAGGATCCTGGCTCAGTATAAGCACACACACACACACACCAAGTAATGTTTCTATGGTTACATTGTGATGTCTTAGTAAAAATTCTATTTGGTGAGAGATAAACTTTATTGTATTTATCCTAGTGAATCTATAATTAAAGGTGTAAACTAGTCGTAGTACATTCAATGTCAAAGAGAGTAAAAAGTTATTATCAGGAGAGGGAGAATGTTTAAGTGGTTAGCAGCAGTGTGCTAGCAGATGGCCCCCTCCATGAGGCCACCACAGCTCAGCAGAACATCATTGTAGCTTCTTCTGGGGAGAAAAACACTTAGATAAAAAAAAAGTTAACAGCTGAAATGGCAGGACATAATACAGTTGGATTGTAGAAGAAAGTAGTAGAGTGTGAAAAGTGGTCAATGTATCCTCCAACAGTCTAAGCCTATAGCAGCATAACTACAGAGATAACTCACGATAACCTAGCCTTATAGATGGAGGCATGTTGGAGTCAGGGCAAGGGAGAGCCGTCTTTACCGACTGTACACTCCACCTCCCTCTACTCCCCCACTTGTCCAGATTTAGGCTAACATCAGATTTTAACCATAGGCCCTATCAAATAAAAATGTTTTAAGCCTAGTCTTAAAAGTAGACAAGGTGTCTGCCTCACGGACCAAAGCTGGGAGCTGGTTCCACAAGAGAGGAGCCTGATAGCTAAAAGATCTGCCTCCCATCCTGTTTTTAGATATTCTGGGAACCACCAGTAAACCTGCAGTCTGGGAGCGAAGTGCTCGGTTAGGAACGTGTGGAACAATCAGATCACTGATGTATGATGGAGCTTGATTATTAAGAGCTTTATATGTGAGAAGGAGGATCTTAAAATCTATTCTGAATTTAACAGGTAGCCAATGTAGAGATCAGCTGTGTGGAACACTTTCAGTCCCATTTGGAGTCAGAATTGATCCCGGTTGGGAATGAGCTTACGAATAGAACGCCACTATTGCGTTACGCGACCGCTTTCATGGCCGGTGGAAATCTGGGGTGAAACACGATGGTTCTGTTCTGTCCGGACCTTTGGTCTGGAACTCTGACCTTGGAGAGAACAGAATAAACTACGAGCTTGTTCAGGGACTAACACAACTAATAGCAAGTAGAAATGATTTAGATAAAAGGTCTGAAATCCGGAATTAGACATTCGTGATTAATACTTTATTTTTTCTTTCTCTTTTAGGTTTGGGATGCAGCCAAGAGATGTTTTCTGGTTTGGTGTTTTTGTCATTTGGAGTGAATTTGCATGATTTTGTTCACGTAAACGATTTTATTTTAAGAAAGATTCATGTTTAGTTTGAGGTTAATAAAAGTTCTTGGTATTCAAGTTCAGGAGAATTTTGTTTACAGTTTGTAATTTAAAGTTTGTCTCAGAGAGATTGTCTGAGTGCTGCGACAGCAAACAAACATTTCAGAGAAAAGTCGTTTTGTTAATAAAAGACTTGGTTTTACTGTTTTTACTCTCAAGGCTCTGTTGTGAACATAAAGTCAGAGGACAGACTGAAATGGTTTGGACATGTCCAGGGGAGAGACAATGATGACATAGGTAGAAGGAGACTGAGAGAAGGACCAGCATAGAGATGTATGGATGTGGTGAAAGAGGACATGAGTTGTTGTGAGAATAGTGGATGGAGAAGGCAGGACTAAATGGAAACAGGTGATTGGCTGTGGAGACTCCTGAAGGGACATGTCCACAGAGGGAGGAGCTTAAAGGATGGAATGAGTACCGGACCAGTCTAGGCTTCCGATGTTCTCTGAGCACAAGTTCTGCAGCGCTCCACAAATTTTCATCCATCTGGATTTAAGAGGTGGGTCCATCTGCTTGACTCCGCCCCTCCATTCTGTAGGGATGTTTTACATTTGGACGAAAGAAATTAACCAGAAATCCATAATTAATTAAGTGGCCTTTAATATCGAGGCTCAGACGGGAGAACGCTAAACCTGAGCCATAGCAGATGTTCCTCACACCTGATGGAAATAAACGGGTCGTTACGAGAGACTGTGAGTCACAGCTGCTCTCATCCACATCCCGGAGGGCAGGTGTGTCACGCCACCATCTTGTTTGAGGGAGCATAAGTTCTTCCCTCATCTGACCTTGGAAGTCGGCCGTCTGATTGCCTTCTCCTCAGGGTAAATATTGTCAGAGTGACCTCAGATCTCCAAACAGTATAAACCAGCCGGGCTTTGGCCGAGCATCAGTGTCCGACAGGCAGGTACAGGTCCCAGGTTCCTCAGCATTCGTCAGCACCATGGTCCCACGCAGGATGCTGCTCCTCAGCACCTCATGTTGGCTGTTGATGGCTTTGGGGAGCTGCAACGAGCTGATCGAGGAGCGATCGCTGGAATTTGAAGTCATCAAGACCAAAGAAGAGAAGGAGCTGGTGAGTCGGTTGAAGGTCAGGTGATGAAGATGGATCTAAATCTTTTCATCCTGAAGGGGAAACATCTCCATGTCTGATGTTCTGGTGAACCATGGATTCCGTATCTGAGACCCTCCAGCAGCTCTTTATGCCTGACTCTCTGTTCTCAGATAGAAGCTCTGCAGGAAGTTCTAGAGAAGCTGAGGAACAAACAGCTGTCGTCGTCTGAGAAGAAGCTCGGCCGGCTTCCACCTTTAAGCATGGACACGCGTCCGTTTGAGTTTTCAGTCTTCACCTGAACACCTCAGACTGCTGTACAACAAATGTGTGTGTGTGTGTGTGTGTGTGTGTGTGTGTGTGTGTGTGTGTGTGTGTGTGAGAGAGAGTGTGTACATGTGTGCGTGTACGTGTGTGTGTGTACATGCGTGTGTGTGTGTGTGTTCCAAATAAACATTTTTTTGCTGATTACTAAGTAAATGTGTGTCTGATCGTGCTGCAGACACGTGTAGTCAAAAATTTGGCACTTTAATGCATCTTAGTTAAAATTTAAATATTCTGCCAAAACTGTCAGCGATGCACCGTTGTCAGGCAAAAACTCAGCACTGCATTTGAATGTAAATCTGCCATAGCTATTGGCTAAGAGGTACATTATGATGTCACAATGTCTTGAGTGTGTATTTGTTAGCGGCTCCGCCCTCTCAGCTAGGCAACAGTATTTGTTGCATTTTTCAAACAGGAAGTGGGAGTGGAGTAATACTCTGGTAGGGGATGACTTGCTTTTTAACTCATTCACTGCCAGCCGTTTCCTGATTGCTAACGGCCTTCGCTGCCAGCGTTTCTCACCGTTTTTACTGTTTTTTTATTTTTTTATTAATGGTGAATGTTTTGTAACCATTTGTCACAAGTTAGTCATGCATTATGTCCTCATGGGCTCCTGTAGAAAGAAACATGGCATCCAATATGGCGTCTTCCAGAGACTTAGGGTGTTTCTTAATATCAAGGCGCCTTGCTTTGCAAGGCGATGTCTTGCGAGGCCAGGCACCTTGCTTACAAGGACACTGTCCTTCCTTGGTCAAAGAAAACGGATAAATGGAACTGACTTGCATCACGTGACTGCGGCTTCCATGGTGTAAAAACATAAGCTAGTTACTACCCGCTAGCCACCGAAGCGGCAACTACTAAGCAACTAACCAACAATAGATAACTTATTTGGGTCTAAAAATAAAACATTTTAAATTAGCTGACTTTTAAACTTGAAAATTGTCCCAGAAGTAGCTGCCGGCTTCTGATCTGCTGTCTTTTTGAAAATACTGCGGTGTATTGTGGGTAATTTTTGACCAAGGCTAGGCTACAAGACACCTCCCAAGCATCCTTGCTCAGCTAGCTAAACGGCTAACAAACGAACACATGCCTCTGTAGATCATGAACATTGGAACCGTTTGGAACACGTCTTGGCGGCTCCTGTTGACGTATCTCCTATAGGCAACCGGGTCGAGGCCAAGACATCAAGGAAAGGTTCCTTGACATTGAGAAACACCCTTAGACCTGCTCCATATATTTTAGACCAGAGTTTTATGGTTTTATGTTAAGAAGCAGCCAATATTTTTCAACAACTGGTCATCATTTAATTCATTTTCAACAACATTTTAATGGATATTTCCAGAGATTAACGGTAAAAACTATACATTTTCCCAAGGTTTAAACCTTCCATGTGCAGCAGCAGGACTGAGAGGCTGGTGTAGATTCAGCTGTTGTCCAGATGGAGGCGCTGTAGGACACGTAGAGCAGCTTCTTTCTGAAGGAGTTTTAACGACAATGACACAGACTGAATCAGGTGTAAAGATGTCCTACTGAGTGTCTGTGCGGAGACAATAGTTTAGTGATGAGAATAAAAGACTGAGTCTCACTGTTTTACTCAGGCTGAACTACAGCATCTATTCTCAGGTGTGATCCCACTACTGAGCGGCACGGGGGCTTTGACCTGCTCCGTCTCCGACCTGGGCCAGTGCACCCCTCCTTGGTCAACCTGGTGGCCCCGGGCTCCCCCAGGAGCACCATATCGATACCAAACTTAGTGCAGACACAGTGGCGGCTGGCCAGTAGAGGGCGATAGGGCGCCGCCCTCCCAGTTTTTCATTTTTATTTTAAAAAATAAATAAATAAAATTAACAATAATCACATATTCTAAGTTAATTGTGTGTTTTGTAACAAAAATAAATCATATATATATATATATATATATATATATATATATATATATATTGGTCTCTGCCGAGCGGTGGAGGCTGTGTGCTGTTTTTCAATCGCCCAAACAGGACCGCGGTCAAGTGAGCCGACAATTGTGAGCCGCGGTCAAGCCAGCCGCATCTTATCCGCCGCGAAAATTTCATTGCGCGTTTACAACGGTCTTTGCGGTACGGCATTTTGAACAGGGAACTGCCCAACTCGTGACAGTCTGGTTGCATATTCAAAAATTCATAAAAAATCATCCTTCATAGCTGATGTACAAGTTTCACCACATTATGATTCTGGGACACCCACTGTACCTGTGTGCCACATTTCAGACAGATTTACTGTAGAAATCCTCAGATATTACAGCAAACTTGTATGCAGTCCACACTTGTGACAGTCATGTTGCATAATCAAAAATTCATAAAAAATCATCCTTCATAGCTGATGTACAACTTTCACCACATCCTTACTCTGGAACACCCACTGTACCTGTGTGCCACATTTCAGACAGATTTACTGTAGAAATCTTCAGATTTTAAAGAAAACTTGTATTCAGTCCACACTCGTGACAGTCTGGTTGCATATTCAAAAATTCATAAAAAATCATCCTTCATAGCTGATGTACAAGTTTCACCACATTATGATTCTGGGACACCCACTGTACCTGTGTGCCACATTTCAGACAGATTTACTGTAGAAATCCTCAGATATTACAGCAAACTTGTATGCAGTCCACACTTGTGACAGTCATGTTGCATAATCAAAAATTCATAAAAAATCATCCTTCATAGCTGATGTACAACTTTCACCACATCCTTCCTCTGGAACACCCACTGTACCTGTGAGCCACATTTCACACAGATTTACTGTAGAAATCTTAAGATATTACAGCAAACTTGTGTTCAGTCCACACTCGTGACAGTCTGGTTGCATAATCAAAAATTCATAAAAAATCATCCTTCATAGCTGATGTACAACTTTCACCACATCCTTCCTCTGGAACACCCACTGTACCTGTGTGCCACATTTCACACAGATTTACTGTAGAAATGTTCAGATATTAAAGAAAACTTGTATTCAGTCCACACTAGTGACAGTCTGGTTAATATTCAAAAATTCATAAAAAATCATCCTTCATAGCTGATGTACAACTTTCACCGCATCCTTCCTCTGGAACACCCACTGTACCTGTGTGCCACATTTCAGACAGATTTACTGTAGAAATCTTCAGATTTTAAAGAAAACTTGTATTCAGTCCACACTCGTGACAGTCTGGTTAATATTCAAAAATTCATAAAAAATCATCCGTCATAGCTGATGTACAACTTTCACCACATCCTTACTCTGGAACACCCACTGTACCTGTGTGCCACATTTCAGACAGATTTACTGTAGAAATCTTCAGATTTTAAAGAAAACTTGTATTCAGTCCACACTCGTGACAGTCTGGTTAATATTCAACAATTCCTAAAAAATCATCCTTCATAGCTGATGTACAACTTTCACCACATCCTTACTCTGGAACACCCACTGTACCTGTGTGCCACATTTCAGACAGATTTACTGTAGAAATCTTCAGATATTACAGAAAACTTGTATTCAGTCCACACTAGTGACAGTCTGGTTAATATTCAAAAATTCATAAAAAATCATCCGTCATAGCTGATGTACAACTTTCACCACATCCTTACTCTGGAACACCCACTGTACCTGTGTGTCACATTTCAGACAGATTTACTGTAGAAATCTTCAGATATTACAGAAAACTTGTATTCAGTCCACACTCGTGACAGTCTGGTTAATATTCAAAAATTCATAAAAAATCATCCGTCATAGCTGATGTACAACTTTCACCACATCCTTA